ACAGGGATGTGGCTTATGTATCAGTTATGTTCAGACTGTAGTATCCTACTTAGGTGGGAGAATAATGCTTTGAATGCCGTTTGTAGAGGTGAGATTTTGTTTAGAAATGGACAACTGATGTCATATGGAAACTGGATTTCTTTTTTTTTTTTCCTCCTTGGTGGAGAGCCAAAGAGGGCTTACATCAGTGCAATGGCTGTTACAGAACAGGGTTTTTCTTCGGTAGTCTGAATTGAATATAATGAATATTCAGGATTAGATTTCTGATTTTTTTTAAATTTTTTTTTTTAACTATAGATTTAAGGCTGTAACTTGATTAGTAAATGAACTAATACTAACACTGTGTTTTAGTCATGCTATTCTCACGGTGATGGTTTTTGGTTTTTTGGTGTTTTTTTTTTCCCCCCAGTGTAGCTATTGTAGCATATTAACGCTCTTCAGTGCATCTTTATATTTGTTAAAGTGTGAGCGGCAAGAGGTTTGAATTGGATCAGGCTTTTCAAGTCTGGTGAAAGCCAAACTACATGATGAAATAGCTACTTGCCAGTAAGCTTCCAGTTTAATAGCAGTTCCTCAGCAGTAGTCAGTAGTTGGCTTGTGAGATTTCCTCCTCCAACATCATCTTGCCCCCCCAGTTTTCTGCAGTTTTGTCTTTCTCCTGCTGCATAGGGAAGGATCTTTTGGGTTGCATGTTTATCTCCATAGACTCCATTTCTATCCCAAGACAATGTTATTCTTTTAGTACCTTGCTCTTCCTGACTCACGGACACCGATTATGCTGATACAATTTGTTAGAGAATGAAGTTGTTGTTTTTAACAGTAGCTGAATTCACCTTTGAGTGGCTCTGAACAAGTTGTGTTCCCATGTTTCAAACGTTGTGGTTTTCTATTCCCAAGTGCAGTTTAATGATGTGTCTCCAGCTGAGAAGTACCATTTAAAATGGCAAACGAGAGACTAAAGTTAGGGAGAAAGGCTTCATACAGTGCCAAAACCCCTTAAAAATTGTTCTAAAAGCTAAATTTCATTTGTTCCACAAATGTTTTGAAAAAATTCACTTGTGTATGTGCATGCATATTTAGTATATGACACATACACTTTATTACTGCCATTATTGAAATAGTAAATTGGTGTTAGGCTATGCTGGCTGGATAATCAAAAGTAGAAACAGTACATGTTCTCTTGGCTTTCCCGAAAAGCAGTAATAACCGATGGTGTGTTAATTTCTTCCATCTTCTTAAAATCCAGGGTTAAATGTTTTGGGGTAAATTTTACTTTAAGAAGGTGGGCTTCATTTTTTTTATGACTGTTACCGGTTTAGCTTTCATTGTGCAAGGTCTGCTTCTGCCAGTAAGTAGTAAACAGCTTTTGTCATGGTTGCTTGCCCTACTGCTGAAAACTTTCTTTGGGCATTTACATAGCATTGAGAATGCTTGTTGCCAGTCCCCGTTCCGACCCTCGCCTGGAAAAACACGGAACCCCCCCCCATTTTTCTGATTGCCATACAGTCTTTAGTGCATAATTCTGTATCTTTTTGTGTTATATGTCTACTTTTTCACTTAAACGTTTTAGCACAGGCACTTGTCTATGTAGCTCTTTTTGACAGTAAGTAAAGTTTAAAGAATATTTTAGTAGATGTTTAGTTTAAGATAGTTTAAAATCGTGTGAGACACTTGTATACACGAGTTAAGTTAAAACTGTTGACTGCTCTTCAGGAAAAGAGAGGGAGAGATAGTACACTAAAATATTTCTTTAAATCTGTTCTTTAAACCTACTGCAGCAAATGTTGAAAAACTGTATAAAATGCAGATGTTAGATAGCAATGCTAATAGGTGGAAAAACAATTTATTCAGGTAATACAATAATTATTAAAGGAACATTTCTTTGCAAATACATATATACGAATGATTATATATTGGCCAGTGATATTTTTTACTGGTAACATTGGGATTACTTAAAGCCTAATCCAAATACAAGCTTTAGTTTTAAAAAAAAAATAAAATTCTTGGCTATTTTTCTGTGGAAAAGTTAATATGTCAAAATTATATGTTGAAAACCACACAAAAGACAAAACAGCTCTGTAAGTACTGATCTGAGCGTTCATGGTATATGCTTTTCTGGTGATGTAATAAAAACAGGTTTTTTACTAGTTTCAGAAAATCTTTTAGTTTAAAAACTTTATTTTCACTTTCTCATTTCTCATTGTTAATGTTTCATATTTAATTTTTGAAACTTGTAAGGAATTCAAATTACTTAGCCTAAGTACGAAAGGCATTGAAAATCTAGTTTCAGTATCACTGTAATTCTCTTATTCTTTGCAAGTTTGTTTGTAATGTGTTGTTTGTAATACATTGTTAAGCCTGTCACACTTTACACTGTTTTCTTCTAGTTTTTTGTAGAAATTTAAATTGAGAACTAGGGAAGACTTGTGTAATGAGCTTCAGGTGAAAAATAAAAGCACTTTTTCCATAAACTTTGGCTGTCCGTCGCTTTGAGGATAAAGCGCTACATTGTGTAATTTTGAACAGGTGAAATCTGGCTACCTGGAAGCCCAGTCTCGCCACATTTTCCAAAATGGTACAGGTTAGAGCCTTGTGTAGACTAAGGATGGACTTCAGATCCTAGTTCAGTGTGTATTTTTGAAATTTTACTCTGCTGTGTTCCATCAAAATTTGTCCTTCTGTGCAGCAGACTAAACTAAATACATTGTCTTGCTTGAATTACGATTCAACCCCTTCTAGCATTGCCAGTTGGAGATACTGCTAGCTGAATTTTGACCAGTTCCGATGTGGTTAAGTTTTTGTTGTTTTGTCTGCTATAGTAAGTTGGAAAAGACTGGAAAGTGTTCTGTAGTGCAAGAACTTCATAAAAAGCTCAGTCCTGTTTTTTTTTGGGGGGGTGGGGAGGGGGGAGTTAAGGGATGACCTGCTTCTAAGGCATACTATTTTTAACTACGAGAATATCTTGAATTTTAGATTTAGCTAAATCTAAAGACAGATAGCTGAAGTGGAAGGTAGAAACATTCAAATTAGAATGAAGAGGTTTAGCTGTTAGAAAAAGATATACGGGAGTGATGGAAACGGTTCCTGATGTATAGGTTTATCCTTTTTCCATCAACTCTTTTAATGGAAGTATGGAGAATGACCTTATTCTTGAAAAAGTAAAAAGGATGTTCATAGGTTTGGTCAGAGACCCCGAGTTTGCCAATTTTCCTAGTAGCATTGAAAAGGTAGTTAAATGTCATACCTGGTTTGGCTTTTCAAATTCAGATCTGGAGTGTGGATGTTCTTGACTTGTAAAAATAAGAGTCTGTTTCATTCTGTTTTTAATCTTGAGTAAGTTGGCTTGGTTTAGGCAAACTGAGTTAAGAACTTGAATTCTTGATCATGATTTAGGCATACCCTTAGCAAAACTTTCTGTGCTCAAGTCAGTCATAAATGAATGCAATATTTTTATGCAGGGAATCAGATTAAGTGTAAATGACTTTACTGGCACAAATTCAGAATTATATTCTGTAGTTACAGCTGAGTGATAATTGAGGACTTCTTTATTCTCTTCCCTCTGGAAATTGCAGCCATCAACTTTCTTACAAAGATGAGGCTTTTGGAGAATTTAACATACAGAAATGCTTCCTATTGAATCCCCCCCATTTATTGTTTCTACTTTTTTAGTGAGTAAATAAAAGTAGTCTTATTCATATTTTTTTTTTTTAAATCCTCCTTGGTATAAGCCCTCAACCCATGAATTTGAACCCTAATAATTACAAATATTTTTCTACTAGTCACAATTTGTGTGTCTTTTGGAAATACAGGTAGCTATTGAACTGCTCTTCTAACATGAAATTAGAGGCTGAATAGCTCACACACTGACTTGCATGTTTTATATCCAGAAGTAGAAAAAAGGAAGTCTTAACACTTGCTTCTCCCATATCTAAATGCATTCAGATTTCCAGCATTAATTCATTAATATCCATATATCTTATGACAGCGTTGTTCTTTAGCCCTTGACTCTTTCTGATGTGTACTCCGCTGACATATTTGTAGGCAGTGGTTGTATTACCTTTTAACCAAAGTAAATAATTTTTTTCTGGCCTTCCTTCCAAAGCAAGACTTCTTCCATCCAGCTGGCTAGCTCTTTATCGCACATGTTCAAGAAAGAGGAACTCAAGCTGGAATTTTGCTGGAATTCTGTACAAAAATTCCGGACAATATTCCGAACAGTGTCTTTCTGCTGCTTTGTACAATGATGTTACCCTGCTTCTGCGAGGAAAATCTTGTCTGGCTCTTCCCCCTTCCACCCGCCCATCCATGTTGGCTGCATCATGTTTATTAGTTGGTTTTTCCTTTTCTGTGGGTGAGCTCGTAGTTCATAATGGACATTTTTGTACTTGGCCCTTAAATTCTGAGGTTGTGGATTTCATCAGACTTTTGTGATGTCAGTCCTCTGGGTCATCCCCTTTCTCCAGTGTGATCCTTCTCAGCATTAATAAAGCTTCCTGTCTTGTTTTGATACTCTTCTACTTTTTCTGTCTGGTTCCTTAGTGCAAACAGGCCTTAAAGCTTTCCTTTAAGACTTCTTCTAGTAAAAATGCACCACCATCTTTCTCCTTTCAAAAAAATTCTGGGTAACCTCTAATTGTTTTTTTATGTACTTTAAGAGTTCTTATGTGAGCCCTTCTGAGTCTTAGTTAATACTCTTACATGGTATTATATGAGATACTTCACCGAAAGTGAGATGAACAGGGTTTGCTGTGGTTTTTGTCTTGTTTAGAAAATGAGTTATCACAGAGGGCTATTGAGTTAGTCTTGAACAGTCCACCTTTCACGAAACTATGTAACATTTGTCTCTTCAGAATTTGTTCTGAACCCTTGGATTTTATTTAGATCGAACTAAGAGATGGCTTACATAAAAATTATCTCATATTTATGATTAAAAGCATTTTTTAATAGAGCACGAATAATATCAGTAAACTTTTCAAATAGAGTCTGAATATGTCTTTCAGCCAATGGTAATGACAACAAGAAATTCAAAGGTGACGATAAAATGGATGGGGCTCCTTCTCGTGTTCTTCATATCAGGAAATTGCCTGGGGAAGTGACAGAAACAGAAGTTATTGCTTTAGGATTACCTTTTGGTAAGGTAACCAACATCCTGATGCTGAAAGGGAAAAATCAGGTAATTTGTTGCTTTCCATTTTTTTAGTGTGCTTACTGTCTAATTTCAAAATACGCTGTTAAAATACTATTGAAATAAGTCATATAACAGTAAGTATTAGGGAAAAAAAAGAGCCTTTGTTCCTTTCATTTTGTTTATGAACTTATACTGTTTTAGTAAATTTTTGGGGGGGAACAGGGGATGGTTGGCAGCTACATAAAGTGAAAAGTTAGCTGTAAGTTAAATAGTCCTGCATCTTCACAGATGAATTTTTGGAGATGAAGTAGGTTGGCAAATAAAGTTGGTATGTAGAGAATGACATCTTCTGAAGACTGATATTTGTTAAAATGTGTTATCAAACCCTTTAAGTGTTTTTATATGAAGGTTATCTGCTTTGTAAATACTGAACAGTAACTGTTTAATTACAGGCATTTTTGGAACTTGCTACAGAAGAAGCAGCTATCACTATGGTTAATTACTACTCTGCTGTGACGCCTCATCTTCGTAACCAACCTATCTATATCCAGTATTCCAATCATAAAGAACTGAAGACTGATAACACACTGAACCAGGTATATTTACTGTTACGTAGTGTTACAAATGCAGACAGTAGAAAATGAGGCCTGGCATGTATTCTTGGCTCATGTGGCATATGTTGAAACCGTTTGGTTTTGTCCACGTTCTAACACTGCTGTAGTCTTACCTATGATCATTCCATTTTGTGACATTGAAGGGGATTTCCTTTCTGTGTGTTCTATCCATTACGATAAATTTTCTTAATGTAAAAAGAATAAGATTCTGAAGTGTCTTTTAACTTTAATTTTTTTTCATAAAATAAGTTTTCATCTTGGAGACTGTAGGATGAAAGAGTTAACTTTCTGACACCTGAGATTCTAATGCCAATTTGAATTTGATAGTGACTAATGCCAATGCCTACGTTTCAGCGCTTTGAATGATCGCTCTGGTAACACTGGTAACCTCAGCTTATGTGATCTGCTGTTCCTGGAGAAGAATACCTTAATGATCGCTGCAGAGACAAATATACTTAATAACAAAAAAATGTTTTGCTCTTGCCTCTGCAGAGCCTATTTCGCAATAAACAGATACATGTGTCTGTGTTTAGCAGAACAGGAAAGTTAGCAAAAGTAATGTGGTGACCCATTTCATACAAATTATAGGGGGAGAAAAGAGGCATCAATTTACCATAAGTCAGATGATTATTTTAATGTTAATTTCTTATGTTTTCTTTTTGATGTTACAAAAGACAGTGTAAGTACCAAGTTACGGTTTCTGTTGTTTGTGTCCTATTTTAGGTAAGGTATGTAAATAATAAAATTATAGCTGTTACCTTTAAAAACAATTTCAGGCTAATCTGTTGAAAGACATCTTGGTTCAGATCAAGTATAGTGTTGATTTTCCTGTTGATCTTTCTAAAAGTTCCAGTTCCTTAGAATATTTTGATCGTTTGTCTGCTAAAGGTGATTTTTAAAAATTGAG